CAATTAAAATCCACTCTAAAACACTTAACAGAGATTTTAAGCTCCAATATAAACTAGATCATGCGATCTCTCTAGCTCCCAATTAAACATTTTAATGAAGGAATGTGCATTTCTCCTCGATGGCTATTTCTCTAGCTGTTCTTCCATAGAGCTCTCCTTCCCCAGGGTCTTGTGTGTTCTTCTTCTGCAGCTTGGGAAGCTCTCTGAGGGTTCTCAGCAACTCAGCCACTGGGGGCAGAGTCTTCTCAAAACCCAAAGCCCGACCCCTGGTCTCATTGTCAACGTAAGCTATTTACCACCTTTAGAAGACTGGCAATGTGCGGTTATTTAATTATTTGCATACACTTTTGCCTGACTCTCCCAGCAGGCTGCAGGCTGCAGGCTCCACAGAGGCAAGACCCTGCGCTAGCTTCCTTGTGGAGTCACCAGCGCCCTTTACAAGGACTGGCGTGTCATGAGTACTCTGTCTACCAAATAAACTAAGTGAGTGCATCTGTGGCACTAATCCTCAACACAGGCTGCAAACTAAGATCACTTCATTTGAAAAAGCTAAATCCAAATCCAAACCAGTGCCCTAGCCCCAACCCCCATAGCCTCCAGCTTAATTAGCATGGTAGGAAGCTGGCTTCAGTAATTCTAGAAAGCTCTTGGGGGATTCTTATGGCTTGGGTGGGGGAAATCACTGCCCCAAATGGACTATGGGGGCCCATTAAGGTATTTCCTAAATCTTACACTGGGGAAAAGGCTTCTTAAAACTGGTTTGTAAATGACTAGAGGAGAAAGCAAATTGATAGTGCCCAGGAATCTTGTACAGAGAAGGCCGAGGCATACGAACCACACTGGAGTCTTCAAAGAGCTGAAAGAGGTGTGCAGGATCTTGGGCTGTAAGCATCCCATTCGCAAGCTGCGGTGGTGATGGCAGCCATGGGCGTGGTTTTTTCCTTTTCTGCTTCCTTTGTTCTGCAGAACTGACAGGCTCTATAGAGAACTGGAAGGCATCATTCTCTCTCTCTCTCTCTCTCTCTCTCTCTCTCTCTCTCTCTCTCTCTCTCTCTCTCTCTTATGGCTCTGGACACAAGGTATGGGTCCCCACCTAGCTAGGAAGTAGACATCTGAAAGATGGCCTCAATGATGAGAGAAATGGGAAGGAAGCCAGTGAAGGGAGAAGGCCCCTGGGTGTCTCCTAACGGAATGTGACTCACCTAAAATTAATGACCCCTAATACCGTCGCTGCTCTATGAACATTCGTGTTGACTCCTATTTAAACGGTTTGTGGCAAAACAAACAAATAAACAAACAAACAAAACACTCTTAAAGGCCGGGCGGTGGTGGCGCACGCCTTTAATCCCAGCACTCGGGAGGCAGAGCCAGGCGGATCTCTGTGAGTTTGAGGCCAGCCTGGGCTACCAAGTGAGTTCCAGGAAAGGCGCAAAGCTACACAGAGAAACCCTGTCTTGAAAAACCAAAAAAAAAAAAAAAAAACAAACAAGCAAAAAAAAAACACTCTTAAAAACTTACCTTGACACAATCAGGATTTAGGACTGGGGTCTGAAAGAACACTACAAATGTAGGTAAACATTTCCCAAACTTTAGGGACTCCTAGGTTCCCTGTTAAAGGGAATGAGGTGGTTTATGCTTCAAGAATGACCTGTTTACCCCCAAAGGCTGCCACCTGTCAGTCCATCTGATCCTTGTTTTATTGTTGTATACAGCTTCTTTTTAATTACTGACCATTTTTTGGTGTTTAAAATGAGGACTGGAGTTTCAGACGCATTGACTGCTCTGTGAACACTGGGTCTTTGCCAGGCATTGTTCTGGATGCTTCTGCCCTTCTCCCTCAGCCCTACCCCCACCCCACCCCATGTCCTTCCTTTATCAAATACCTGCACTTCCAAGTTCAATATGAATTAAGACTCAGCGTGAGCTTGGGACTGATTGTTCCATTGTTCTGGTGTATACTTGTGTGCCCAGGTTCTCCTTTACATCACACAGAGGCCAAGATTAGGTCTGGGACTTGGATTAAACCCTGCATTCTTGGAGTCATCTTGCTTTTCAGACACCGCTAGTTAGGCTGTCCATCAGAACTGTCAGTTTGTCTCCAAATGGGCTTTTCTTCTGGATTTCAACCAGAGATGGAGCACCAGGTGCCTGAGTTTGTTGAGAAGCTCCAGTGTCTCCCCTGCAAACAGCTTTTCTTTCCTCTACTTTGCGAGGCTGGGTCAAGATCTCCAAACTAGTGTTGACTTGTCAGCTGTTTACTTAACCTCTGCTCAGGGTTAGAATGAACAGGGAAGGCCTGCTCTTTCCAGGGGGCTTGTGACTCCTGGTGGTAAGGCTACGGGAGCGAGCGGCACTTTCCCCGTTGGCAGCAGACATCATTCCAACACTTCCAGAAACCTCTGATGGTGCTCTGAAGAAAGGCAGCTCTTCGAGGTTTGAGACGCAGTAGTGCTCTAAGGGCCTCTTTAGTTCAGGTGAATTAAAGAAGTCTTTAGTTTCTTCCTCTATCCCCAGGAATGGTAGGTGCTTCCAGAAATTACCCTCTGAGCTACCTCAGGTTGCCATTGTGATTTTTCAGTCCTCCAACCACAGCTTAGTTAAGTCCTTCTAGCTCAGTGGTTCTCACCCCGCCCTTGGGAATCAAACAACCCTTTCTTTCATAGGGGTCACCTAAGACCATCAGAAAACACAGATATTTACATTAGGATTCATAACAGTAGCAAAATTATAGTTATGAAGTAGCAACAAAAATAATTTTACGGTTGGGGGTGCTCATCACAGCATGTGGAACTGTATTAAAGGGTCACAGCATTAGGAAGGTTGAGAACCACTGGTCTAGCTGCACCTTGAGCTTGCAGCAGAAGGCCTTCACCTGCAGGCAAGCTAAAGCACAGATGTGTGTCCACCCCAGCATCTCCCATTCAGTCACTCTGGGGTTGTGGTCTCAGAATTCACTTTGCTGACGAGTTCCCAGATGATGTGGATGCTGTCCACCTGGGAATCCTACCTGAGCCACGACCCTGCTTTAAATCTCGGTTGAGGGCTAGAGAGGTGGCTCAGAGGTTAAGAGCACTGACTGCTTTTCCAGAGGTCCTGAGTTCAATTCCCAGCCACCATATGGTGGCTTGCAACCATCTGTGGTGAGATCTGACGCCCTCCTCTGGTGTGCAGGTGTACATGCAGATAGAGCACTCGTACACATAGATAAATAATTTTTTTAAAAAAAATTAAATCTCTGTTGAAATCATGCATAGTCTGTCTACTACTTGGATGCTCACAGACTCAACTGGCTGTCTACCAGTTTGGTTTGGGATGTTTAGTGGGTGACATAATCCCCAAACGCTTGAACCTTGACCTTCCTGTGAGACCGAGTTGCTATCTTGGCTTGTGTAGCGCACCTTGAGTCTGTACCTTTTCCATCTCAGTTCAAAGCCCGTCCTTTGCCAAACTCCTGCCTGTTGTTCTCTGGCACAAGTCCTCCTGCCTCTTCGGACTGCATTGCTAATTTTATCCCAGGAGGGTGCTTAGTTCTCCCACCTGTGGCATCTAGGCCATCAAGTTAGCAGCACTTCTCCAGGCTTGCTTTTTAAAGTCAACAAATGCATGTGAATTGGTTTTTTGTTTGTTTGTTTGTTTTACTATAATATACAGACAGATTCATGCTGGATGCTTTTGCCAGAGACAGATGAGAACTCCTTGGATTGCCCTCAAAGAGTACTCATTACTGGAATAAAATTGTATTGTATATATAGAAAAGATGTGGAGGAAATATCAGCAGAATCCCTACTGGAGAATGATCTCTTTTAGTTGGGTGAATATTTTGGTTAGCAAGGTGTGAGTGGGGGAATACTCAGTGTGTGTGTGTGTGTGTGTGTGTGTGTGTAAGTTGACAACAGGGCTCTGTTTTCCAGGCAGGCCCCTGTACAAGCTGGTGCTGGAGCTGGGTTGTATGGAGAAGGGAGTAGTGTGGAGGGGGATGAGTCTGTGCTGGCTGCCGCAGAGCTAGCTGCCAAGGGCAACTTCAAAGGAGAAAGACATTGTCCAACAGGGATTTTCATTAGATTTTTGGCCGGTGTGAGCTGTAATCTCCCAGAAATCATCAATAGAACATAATAGAATGTTGAACTGATCTGTAAGCTTGGAATGGTGTAAAATTAGAGACCACATGAATTATGTAAATAGATTTCATTTTCTCATCTTTCTTTTCCTCCTTCAAAAAATGTATTATAGGCACTTTGTAGCACTGACTAGATTTTTACATCTTTTTCATTAACCCAGTTATGAAGTGGGATGTGTTTATCAAAACATTGGTCTTTTGGGTGGAGAGTGCATTCTTACCCAGATGCAACCAGCATTAGTCTGCATGAAGCACCAACAGTCCTGAATACAGTCATTCATCTGTGGTCATTCATTTTATGATGAAAATTTCTTATTTTTCTGATTATGAATAAATAAATGCACACTAGTTAACATTTAGAAATATTGATAACCATGAGCAAAAATAAAACCATCCATAGTTTCAATCCTCAGAGATAACCACAACTAACAAAGTGTCTCCACCCATCTCTCATATATAAATATAGCCACTATATTGGTGTGTGTGTGTGTGTATGTGTGTGTGTGTGTGTGTGTGTGAAAGAGTATATGTCTATATAAGCAATTCCATCAATATCATATGTGTATGTTTTCTGTATTTATAGTCCAACAGGTTCATAATATTTGTAAAATCTTACTGCTGTTTTCATTTAGCATCTTGATAAAAGCATTCATCCTTTTGATTACATCTTCAAAATTATAATGTGAAGATTGGATTCACTCATATAGACTACTGTAATGTACACAATGAATTTCATATTGTTAGATAATTATAGTATTTCTCCATTATTTGCTGTCACGGATAATACTACAGGAATATTACTGCATGCATGGCATAACTACACTTAGGGAGAGCATCTTTTGACACATTGAAAAGCACTTTGGAGGCAGAATTTCGTACTTGCCTGAAATGAAGCTCACGAGATACAGCCCCAATGGGCCATGCAGAGTTTCAAAGGGCTTGCCAAAAGCGTTGTACGTGAAGAAGGCTGTCCCCACCATGGTTAAGACGACAAGAATCATGGAGAAGAGGATGATATTGACATGGATGCTCACGGGGATGGCTTGCAGCAAATCTGGGAAGACTGAGGACAAACCAAGGATTAGAAGAACCTTATACGAGCAGTATTCTGCAAGTATAACTGAAAATTTAAACCCAATTTCTTTACATGCTTTCAAAAATCACTAAAAATCATTTTTATGAACACATTTTTTTCCCCTCACCTACCAATTTACAAGGGGTTTACCCAAAGACTTAAAGAGGGGGATTATTTCATAGAATTCACCAGTAAAATATGGTACTTGGGGAGTATGGGAGATTCTTCTGTCTTTGATTATACTCCAGTGCTGGATTAATAACTCAAAACTGTACATTTTGATGACCCAAGTTTCAATGACAGTTCCCAATAATCGCTTTTAAAAAACTGATCTACATTTTATAGTAATATTTTAAATTCGAATGCACCTGGGAGAATTCAAACACCCAAAGGTTTTCATAACACCTTTGTTTGTTATAATACAAAAATTAATTTCTAGGCCACAACAACAGTAGAGAATTGAGAATTTTCAGACAGCTTCAATATTTTGTGGTAGCATGAGGCTGTGGGAAAATTATTTCTGGTACTACAAGAAATATTTTTCCATTTAGCAAACATGCCAAATCTATTTCTAGATTTTGTATTCAGGGCAAGTTCTCCTTGTCTGCTCAGGAGATGAAAAGCCCTACAGATGTCAGCTCTCAGTGTTCCATCAGCAGGCTCGCCTTCAGCAAATCCGGACAACAAAGGGAAGCTCAGTTCAACACAGTTTGGTTCCCCAAGCATCTGGCCAATGCTTCACTTATTCAGCCTACTATGCGTCAGTCATTGCTCTGGGAGCTGGACGTAGAACTATAAAACAAGATGGAGAAAGACCCAAGTGTCTTCCACAGAGCTTGGAACCTAATGAGAGTACACAGACAACCAGCAAGGGAGCAAGCAGATTCGATTGCTTGTTTTCAAAGGTGTTCACTATGGTTGTCTCCCTTTACCCAGGTGTTAATTCCCCTTTAAGAGGTAGAGTTATTTCCTCAATGTCCTTTGGAGTAACTACATCATATAGCTTAGTTGTCCCTTTTGTTTGTTTGTTTTTGTTTTTGTTTTTCAAGTCAGGGTTTCTCTGTGTAACTTTGGTACCTGTCTTGGATCTCGCTCTGTAGACCAGGCTGGCCTCGAACTCACAGAGATCCACCTGGCTCTGCCTCCCGAGTGCTGGGATTAAAGGCGTGCGCCACCACTGCTAGGTGCTTAGTTGTCCTTTATTGTCCTATGATTAAAAACTGCATCTGCTAAGTCCAAAACATTTAGCAGTGACTCATGGTAGTCAGGGTGTAGGAAAAGGGAGCCTCTTGTGCACTTCTTTTGGGAGTAAAAAGTAGAAAAACCTCCTTGATGCTGGGCAATATCGCTAAAGCACTGAAATGTCCATTCTCTTTAGCTCAGTAACTTTGCTTATTCACAGGAGCCTCTATTAGGCATATTTGGGTATATGAGTCCCATGAAGTATTATAAATATAGTCATTGCCGAATCTTTGGTGATAGCCAAAGCTCGGAAGGAGCTTGTATGTCTAACAAAAGTGCATACAATCCCAATACAATGGAATTTCACAGAGATCAGAGCAATTCTATAGGAACAGATGTGGAATTATCATCAAAATGTGGAAAGAAACAAACCACATAGAGAGAAACGTGCATTATCCATTATCCTGCCACTGCGGGGGGCGGGTGTGTTTGTGTGTGTGTAGGTGTGTGTGTGTGTGTGTGTGTGTGTGTGTGTGTGTGTGTGTGTGCATGCGCGCGCGCAGAGGGATGTGTTTATAATGATTGTTTAAGTACTCTACTCTCCTGGCTGAATTCTCTACACAGGTGAGATAGGTATATCATTAAAAACTGAGGCACGAGGGGCTGGGGAGATACCTCAGTGAGTAGGAGCACTTGCTCTGCAGGCAGGAGGGCCTGGGTTTAAGTCCCCAGCACCCAAGTAAAAGCAGGCGTACCAAGCATTGAAAGGCAGAGTGGAGTGGGCCCCAGGAATCACTGACCAGCCAGCCAACCTAGTAAAAGTCGTGAACTTCTTCAGAGAGGGAGATGCTGCATTTTCTTAACTTTTTTTTTCTTTTTTTTTTTTTCCCATATTTTTATTCCAACAGGGTCTCACTATGTATCCCTGGCTGGTCTGGAACTGGACCTGGAACTCACTCTGTCGATCAGGATGGCCTCACACAGAGATCCACCTGCCTCTGCCTCTAGAACACTAGGATTAAAGGCATGTCCCACCGAGCCAGGAGAGACCCTGTCTTAAAGGAATGCAGTGTAAAGTGAAGATGAAGGCTTCCTCCTTTGGCTTCAGCATTAGCACAGATACTTG